GTATTGCAAGCTAATAGTTATGCATTGATTTGATGTTGATACTCCGTATTATTTTTGCACTTCCGTATCTCCATGCACTCCACATACGGAGTATTGAGATGCGCATACAATGATGGTACAAGGCTTACGCCGAACACACACCTTTCCAAACATGCGAAAATTCAATTTTGACTTTTTATTTGGGCGGGAAAACTCACATAAATCTCTCCTTCTTTTGTATATACATTGATAAGAGAACTTTACTACTACGTATATTAGTTTTTTATTACTCCCTTTACTAACAGAATACCCGTGTTGATTACTGAGTAGTACATACCTGATCGCATAATACCAACACCAAAATAAACGGGTTAATTAAGATTTAAGACTCGATTAATTAGTACATACCTTACCATACGAGTTCAAATTATGTTAGAACAAATATGATCAAATTTGAAAATTTTGATCCAAGTTAAAATATAATATAATGAATACTTATCTCTCATTTGAGTTCATTCACATCCACCCAAAATCAAAAACAAAGATTCATCAAATTTCCCACATTTAAATTTGACTATGACCAACAAGCTCGAATGCTCCAAGTGGCTACATTCCACACTCAAGATCCTCTTCATGTGGGAAGTTTTGGGTTCATGGCTGTAAGGAATGAATTTGGAAGATTTTATCAAATGACGATCTTCTAGTTTGAGTGACCGCACAATCTGTTTTGCTCCACCACAAACGGTAGTGTCAGAATTTGTTTCTTACACAACAATGTTTGAAAAATCGGTTGTTCATTGTTCTCCGTGGAGCTGTGCAAGAAACCCGAAGATACATTGAATTATTCAATTCAGAGCGGTTTCTTGTGCACGGTAATGTATAGATAGATGTTAGAAACCTAAGGACATGTTTACTAACAGAGATATTTTCCAGTTTTTTGTTTCTATTTTTCGTTCTCCAATTTTCTATTTTCATTTTTTAGTTTTTCTATCTCCAACCAGAAGATCCAAAGTGCGGTCCCATTCTGAAATCAAATCTAATACAAACCAAGTAGGGTACCAGGTCCCACGTATAGGAAAGTCGGGACCTAAACCGGTCGGTCCCGACTCTCGGTCCATCTCAACGGTTAGTTTGACGAATTCTTTTCTCATTTCTCATTGGTTGACAACTCAATGGCTCTTTTGAAACTATTCACTATAAAAAATTAATTCAAAAATCCGAGACTGAACCGCCGGGTCATTGACCGGTCTAGACATGGATTGCCATGTCATTGACGGGACAGGCCTGGGACCGCCTGGTTGTCGACCGGACTGAACACAGGCCTCGAATCATTGGCCGGACAGGATGAGGACTGTTGGGTCATTGATCGGACAAGACTAGGACTGCCGCGTGGTTTACCTGACAGGACGTGGAATGCCGAGTCATTGATCGGGACGGATGGAGACCGCCGAGTCATTGATTGGGACGGACGGGGACCGCCGAGTCGTCGACCATACTGGATCAGACTGGGATTGCCCACCTGTCGACCAGACTGAACATATATCGCGTGGTCGTTGGTCAGACTGGACAGGGACCGTTGGGTCATCGATCGAACCGGACAGGGACCGTCGGATCATCGATCAGACTGGACAGGGACCGTCGGATCATTGATCGAACCGGATAGGGACCCCCGGGTCTTGGACCGGACCGAACCAGGGCTGTGGGGTCATGGAACAGAGTGGACGGGGACCGTTGCTTCGCACGACAGACAGGGACTGCCAGGTCCTTGACCGGACCAGACCAGGATTGCTCGGCCATCGATCGGATCAGATAGGGACCACCGAGTCAATGATCGTACCGGTCCGTCGTGCATTGATTGGACTGGAACTGACACCGGAACAGGACCAGATCCACCACTAGCGTAAGTATGCGAATTCATTGCAGCGACACTGCGGCATCCGCGTTTTCCAAATTTGGAAAACCAGTAAAAGTCATTTCTCCAATTCATTAAGGAAAAGTGAGACATATCTCAGTTTTTTTTTGTTTTGAAAAACGATTTGGTAAACTCATTTTTCCGTTTTTCTTTCTCCAGTTTCCTGTAATTTTCTTTGGTAAACGTGTTTTCTGTTTTCTTTTTTCTAGTTTTCCAGTTTTCTGAAAAATTGGAAAATACCTCTGTTAATAAACAGACCCTAATTGATTGTTAGAACAACACAAATTTACTTCTTTCATGAATTTGGATGAGTTCTTTAAAACCTAAAACTAATCCAGTAAAATTGGGATCAGTTGGTTTAACAAAAAATAAGGGCATGTTTGCTGACAGGGATATTTTCCAGTTTTCTATTTCTGTTTCCTATTCTACAATTTTCTGTTTTCATTTTCTAGTTTTTCTATCTTCAATTTTATGTTTTCATTTTTTAGTTTTTCATTTTCAAATCTGAAAAACATGTTCATCAAAATTTTCACCCGGTTCTGAGACCAACTAGAAGACCGAAAGCACGGCCTCAATTCGGAATCGAACCAAGTACAACATAAATAGGGTACTAGGTCCCACATATAGAAAAGTTGGGACCAAAACCGTCCGATTTCAACGGTTAGTTTGACAAATTCCTTTTCTCATTTCCCTATTTGTTGACAACTCAACATGTCTTTTAAAACTCCTCACTTTAAAATATGATTTCAAAAAAAAAAAAACTGAACCGCCGAGTCATTGACGGGACTGGCTCGAGACCGCTCGATTGTTGATCGGACCGAACACAGACCGTCGGGTCATTGTCCGGAGAGGATGGGGACCGTTGGCTCATTCATCGTACAGGACGGGGGGCCGCCGAGTGGTTGACTGAATAGGATGGGGACCACCGAGTCGTTGATCGAACCCGGTGGGGATCGTCGAGTCATTCACCAAACCAGATCAGACTGGGACTGTCCGGTTGTCGCCCGGACCAAACAGGTAGCACCTGGTTGTAGATCGGACCGGACAGTGACCGTCGGGTAATCGATCGGACCGGACAGGGACCGTCGGGTCATTGATCGAACCGGACAGGGACTGTCGGGTCATTGATTGGACCGGACAGTGACCGTCGAGTCATCGATTGGACCAGACAGTGACCGCTGGGTCGTGGATCGGACCGGACAGGGCCGCCGAGTAGTGGACCAGATCGGATAGGGACCGCCGGGTTGTGGACTGGACCGAACAAGGAGCGTCGAGTCGTCGACCAGACCGGATCGGACCATCGAGTCATCGATCGAACCGGACAGGGACCGCCGTATCGTGGACCAGACCGGATAGGGACCGCTAGGTCGTGGACCGGAACGAACAAGGAGCGTCAGGTCGTCGTCCGGATCGGGCCTGGACCATCGAATCGTTGACCGGACCAGGATTGTTAGACCGTCGACCGGACCAGACAAGGACCATCAGGTCAATGACTGGACTGGATCGCCGGGTCGTTGACCGGACCAGACTAGAACCAACACTGAAGCAGGACCAGATCCACCACTAGGCGTAAGTATGCAAATTCATTGCAGCGGCACTGCAACATCCGCGTTTTCCAAAATTGGAAAACTAGTAAAAGTCACTTCTCCAATTCATTAAGTAAAACAGAGACATATCTCATTTTTTGGTTTTGGAAAATGATTTGGTAAACACATTTTTCTGTTTTCTTTTCTCCAGTTTTCTTGCAATTTCCGTTTGTAAACACGTTTTCCAATTTTTCTTTTTCCAATTTTCCAGTTTTCTAGAAAACTGGAAAACATCTCTGTTAGTAAACAAGCCCTTAGTATTCTTTTATTTGTTACACTTTCTCTTCTTGATAAATTTTCTCCTTAAAACTATTCAAACTATCCTAATTTTTCAACTTTTTACCTTATCTTTCATACAGAGCATTTGAGGAAATCCTTTATATAGGACTAACATATAAACAAAGTGCAAATATATGGCTATCATTATTTTCATTCCTAAAATATGACTTATTCACTCTTAAGAGCATCTCCATTCATGATATTAAAATAAATGGTTTTCTTATGACACATCATTGCCACATCATTGTCGGGCAGACAACTCATCTCGCGACACACAACTTGTCTGTGGGAGACAGACAAGTGTACACCTTTTGTGTACAAAAAGTGTATACCCCAATCTTTTTTCCTACTTATCCAAACCCATCAGTTGCTGACTTGCTCACTCCTTGCACTATATATAAATAACGAGAAAAGTGTCAGTTTGGTACATCAACTTGGGAGCGGGGGAGTAAAGAGTATCTGTTGATGCAATAGTGGCTGAGAAGTACATAAAATGGCCAAATGAGTGTTAATTCAGTACTAGGTTGTATTTAAGCATAATTAATGCTGACATGACCAAATGTTTACTGATGTGGCAAAACTAAAGATATAATCAAACAACCTTAATGTTCTTCTCTCCTGGCTCTTGCGCTCGGCAGTTTCCAGAAGCCGCAGAAGGCCGCCGCCTACATACGATGAACAATACGTTCTCAAGAGGGACTCTACTACTCTAGGAATAAGTTCCGAACGAGCACTCCAGCCTCGGATGCAGGTCGTCCTCACTCTGGAGCATCACGCCGAAGCCTTTGGATATGCCAAGGAGTATCAACGGTGGCTCGAGAAAGCTTCTCATCATCGGAAATCTAGCCAGTCGCTTCCATCTTTCCTCTCCGGAACCCGTTTCTGAAAGTTGCCGCCCGCCAGGTGAAGGTTGGTCCGTGTACTGATGGGAGATTTGGGAGTTGGTGGTGGATTGCAGATCTAACAAGGGAAGATTTGGCCGATTACATCTCTGCAACGAAGAAGAAAGATGAGAAAGCAGAGAGGCAAGGCGAGCTCAAAGAGGAGGACCGGCGGAGAGAAGACGCCATGCCACCATGGCCGTGCGAAGGAGAAGGCTTTGTCGCTCCTTTGCCCCTAGAGCTGCGAGCGTGCAAGAGATGAGAGAGAAGACCGACGACTAATGAAGTGTTTTCCATTAATCGCCAACTCAGCATTTTATCCCACTTAATGTCTGGTAGGACTAAACTAGCACTGATTAGCAGAGTTTATGTACCTCTCAGTCTCGATTGCATCATCAGATACTCTTTACTCCCCCGCTCCCAAGTTGATGTACCAAATTGACATTTTTCTCTATAAATAACAGAGCTGCACGCGCAAAACGATGGCCGCGCTGAGATACTCACTATTGACTGCACATATCGCGATTACTTCTACGTCTACTTCTGCTTCTAGGATTTTCCTGAAATTTCGATCTAGCCCGACCTGGCCTATTTCATATTCGGTTTCACCACTCTGCCGTAGAAGATCTAGTAGCACCACTCACTCCATGGCTCGGGATACACTTGGCCTCACTTATCCCATTAAACTCGACCATCCCAAGGTTTTTCTTCTTCTCCATTGTTCGCTCTAAACTATATGCTTTCTTGAATGTGAATTATATATTGAGGCAAAGTTATGTTTGTGTTTGCTGTTATATCCAGTAGATTTTGATTCAGGGTCACTTGAAAACATTGTGATCAGTAAAGTTATGATCTTATGAGTATTAATTTATGAGAAATGTTTAAGTATATACTGAATTCCTCCTTTATCGTGCCCACTGAAGATCTCATTTGCCGCAAAAGCTACCGATTTGGTTGAATGGAAAGGAGATATCCTTGCAGTAGGCGTTACAGAGAAAGATATGGCAAGAGACGAGAACTCTAAGTTCCAGAATACGATCTTGCAAACGCTAGATTCAAAATTGAGCGGTTTGCTATCAGAAGCCTCATCCGAGGAGGATTTCTCTGGGAAATCAGGACAATATACTGTTCTTAGACTTCCTGGCATTGGTTTTAAAAGGATTGGGTTAGTAGGGCTTGGCCCAGCAGTTTTTTCAACCAAGGCTTATCGGGCTCTGGGTGAGACCATTGCTGCGGCTGCTAAATCTACCCAGGCAAGTAGCATTGCTGTTGCACTTGCTTCTGTTGATGGCCTTTCGGAGGAATCAAAGATCAGTACTGCCTCTGCAATAGCAATCGGTACCTGTTTACGAAAATGTTTAGCTGGAAGTGAACTTTATCATTATCATACTGAGTGTGTTTGTTTGTGTATAGGAACTGTGCTTGGCACTTTTGAAGATAACAGGTTTAAGTCAAAGTCGAAGACTCCCACCCTTAAGTCTGTTGATATTATTGGTCTTGGAATTGGGGATGAGATCGAAAAAAAGCTCAAATATGCAGAACTTGTTTGTTCGGGTGTGATATTTGGGAAAGAGCTTGTGAATACACCTGCCAATGTACTTACCCCAGGTCAGTAGTTATCCTTTCCGATTATCTAGTAGCTTTAAATGGAGTATTTTGCTAATTAATTTTGTACTAATTGGGCTTAACTTAGTAAAAAAGAGTAAATTTGATTAAAACATACGGAGTATTAGTTTAGTTGCATATAAGGTTAATAGTGTTTATGTCTATGTAGTAGCAAACTCTATTTGAAATTTTTTAATGAATACAACAACATCCAATCCTTATCCTCAAAAGATTTTTGGGTCATCTAACATGAATCGATCCATGATATTAGAGTCAAAAAGAAAAGAAATATAAGAAAAATAGAAATATAAGTTATAATAGAAAGATAAGGTAAAATGAAACATAAGGTAAAAAAGTTTAACCAAATATCTACCATTAATTATTTGAGTTGAATGTCCTTTCAAAAAAAATATTTGAGTTGAATGTTCGCAAAAAAAAAATTGAGTTGAACACTTGAACCATTTTTTAAAAGCTTCTGTATTTTCTGTATTTCAAAACTTCCCCCTATTTGCCTTCCTCTATTCTTTGATTTCATTCGGTCTCTCCTACCATTTTATGTGTTCCAAACTGACCCTCAATGTTTTTTAAGGTGAAATTTTCACATCACTAACAATATTGTGGAAACTTATTCAACAGAGGTACTTGCTGAGGAGGCAAAAAGTATTGCTTCATTGTACAGTGATGTTCTTAGTGCAAAAATATTGGATGTTGAGCAGTGCAAAGAATTGAAAATGGGATCTTATTTAGGAGTTGCTGCGGCTTCTGCAAATCATCCTCATTTCATTCACTTGTGCTACAAACCTACTGGTGGATCAGTCAAATCCAAGCTTGCTTTAGTTGGAAAGGGATTGACTTTTGACAGGTAACCAACCTCTATTTAGATTACGAGCAGAAGCTTTAATGTTGTTGAGAATGTTTGGTTTGAAGAGAAAATTGTCCCAATTGCCCTCAAGTTTTTATTTTATAAAACCTTACACTATTATATATTTTCATAGTATGACATTAAATGAATTAATAATATCATTATCTTACTCCATCTATCATGAGCTTATCTTTTTGTTTTCTTTTTTTGGCCCATCCAAAGTAATCTTCCTCTTTCCGTTTTAGAAATAAATGTATGAATGATATTCTATTCTTTACATCCCAAAATCTTCACCACATATTATCATTTTCAACCACACCTCTTAATATGCATGTTCAATCAAAACTAGAAGATAATTTTAGGATGGTAGGGGCAATAATTATTAAAGTGAAGATAATAAAGTTATAATAAGATTCTTACTTTATGATTAGTTAAAGTTATTTGGTTCAGTGTTTTCAATCCAAGACAGTGGAGTGAAGCGGCCCACCCCAAAAACGCTATAGCAATATACTGAAGAATAGTGAGATGACTGTTATTCATACACCTTTATGTAGAATTCATAATCATATTTATGCATATAATTACGTGACATATACATATAATATCCAAAAAATAAAAAATGTTACTAAGACTCAAACTTCACCATAATCATAAATCCTAAACTACCAATAAAAAGTTAATAGTTTTCAAATCCTAAAAAGTTAACACTCTTCTTGTCTTTTAAATATTTCAAACTACTCCACTGCCAAGCAACGCCATGATTATCTCCTGTAGGTTCATGAATCATGACTGAGACGTAGAAGAGAAGAGTAGTTGAAAATACAAGAAGAAAAAGAAGAAGAAGAGAAATCATTGAAGAACCAAAGAAGAAACCCGACATATTTTTTTAAGCCTAGGGTTTTAAATATAGTCAATTTTTATTAAAAAAAAGCTACTTTACCCCTTTAAAAGCACTAAAACTCACAAAGACCCTGAGAATATATTGCGTAGATGATTCAAATTTCAATAGTGCTGCTATAGCGTCCACGGCAACCACTATGGTGCTATTGTGCTCGTTATAGCGGACACCATTTCAGCAAGAGCCAAACACTCTGCTACAGAGAGTATTGACATCACTGGTTTGCCTTTAAAAAGGCTCTAAAATATACCATTTCAAAAATTCAAATGAAGGCCAAGTAACTGCATTTTTTTAGGTTTTACTATTTTTTATTTGTTATTGAAGAAATTTTGTTTATAAATTGTAGTGGGGGTTACAACATCAAGACAGGCGCAGGCTGTTCCATCGAAATGATGAAATTTGACATGGGTGGTGCAGCAGCAGTATTAGGTGCAGCCAAAGCCATAGCACAAATAAAACCCGCTGGAGTGGAAGTAAAAACTTGAATCCCACTGTTCCTAAATTGCACGTATTGTTTCTGTCTCATGCTTTAATTGTTGTTATAATATGACAGATACATTTCATTGTTGCTGCTTGTGAGAATATGATTAGTGGGACCGGCATGAGACCTGGAGACATCCTCACAGCTTCAAATGGAAAGACAATTGAGGTGATATTCTACACACAGTGCACAACACGAGAAGACATGATTATGCGTTTAAAACTTGTTTGACCTGTTAACTCAATAATTATTTATTTTTTAATTCCATAGGTTATGGAATGCAATTTTTAAATTCAGAAATTGCCCCAAATAGGAGTAAAAACATTTTGAAATTCCAAAGTAGGACTATCATGTTTTTTATTCCCTGAATAGGAGTAATCTGACAAGTTTGGAAAAAAATGCCATGTTTAAAACCTATTAATGCCAAACTTGGCAGAAATTTACTCCTATTCAGGGAATAAAAAAACATGATAGTCCTATTTTGGAATTTCAAAACGTTTTTACTCCTATTTAAGGAATTCTCTCTTTTAAATTCAAAGACTGAAATTTACAGGGAAACCAACTATGTCCAACATATGCATTTTGCAATCCTATAACATGATAATAATAAAGTTAAAATATTGATAGAGAGCAGAGAGATCAAGGGGCGGGAACGGGCTTGGGCCCACCTCCGTGGGCTGGTTGTGGGTTAGTGTTATAGTTTTATACTCCCTCCGGTTCTAAATAAACTTCACACTTTCCTTTTCGGGCGGTCCAAAATAAACTTCACACTTCCTTATTTCCTTATTTGGCAAAGAAATCTACATCAAAACAGTGTTAAACAGTGCTAAACAGTGTCTCAACAGTGCCAAACAGTGTCTCAACAGTGTACTCTACAGTAAAGTCAAACACTGAAGTTTAAAAAGAACCGGAGGGAGTATATTATTATAAAGTTTATGTTATGTTTTCTAGTTTGGGCCTATTATTAGTAAAGTACTTAGTAGAGTTAGTATGGGCCTAATTAGGATTTAATTAATTTGGGCTTGATTAGGGTTGCTTGTAGAAGGCTATTTATACCCCTTGCCAGGGTTCATTCTTATTATCTGGGAATAAAAGTTTGTTTAGCCTTTTGGCTCTGTTCAACGGTATTTATTTATCGTTGATTATCTAGGCAACGGTTCACCCCGTTGATTTTATTTTTCGGTTTTTATCAATTGGTCCGACCTGCCAGATCCCGTCCCGCCAGGATGATGAGATCTCAGATTGACTGTTTGACAGAGATGGTGGCCAAGCAAATTCGGATGAATTAAACTCTAGAGGAGCACGGCATGCGCCTGGCAGAGATCGCCGCTTCCCTGGCAGCGCTTACGAAGGCGTTTGTTCCGCCAGTCATGACGGAAACAAGCCCGGACACGGTTGGCAGCCCCACGGTATCTGCGCACAGCAGCAATGGACAGCCGCGCAGCGTCACTTCCTCCTTGGCTGCGCTCATAAAGACTTCTATGCCGCCGACAGCAGAAGGGCACTCATCGGCAGCCGCGTCACCGGATTCTGCGTCAACATCTGCGTGCAAACCTGAGGAGATTGCTGGGCAGGAAAAAGATGCAGCACTAGGAAGTTGTGGAACGGGAAGGCTTGCTTCTTGCTTTCTTGATTCCATGGCAACCCTAGATTCGCCAGCATGGGTTTATGGACTGAGGTACAAGTTTGGAGTACACAAGCAACGTATTATAGAAGCTGGACAAGAGGAAGTTACTGAAGGTTGGCTTGATAAATTCAGTCCCTGGGAAGTTGCAAGACTTTGGCAGGCCAAAGGTAGTGCAGAGGACATAAACTTATTTCAAGTTAGCGGTGGTCAATATGAATCTGCTGCACAGTTTCACTCTAGTGCTCACCATATTTGTGATGTCTTTGATCCCGGCGATGCAACATAAAGTGGAAAACTTTTAAGTCTTAAACAACAAATTTTGCTAAGTGGTGCGCCACTTCAGGATACCATATACAGATTTAAGGAGAGGAATGATGGGAAGGGTAGGCTTGATTGGTCCTCATTCCCCTCAAAAGTTGTACTGCTAGAGGCCAGGTGGAATAGCAATATGAAATTTTAACTGAATGGGTGCCTAATCATAGAAACACTGGACGGGGCTAATATGGAAATCAGAGAGGAAATTGGGTAAAATAATTTTTTCCTTTTTGGTGTAAGAGCTGAAGAACTGCCTCTTCTGCGCAAAGAAAGAGAAAACAATCCATTTAAATCAGATCCTAGGATTAAAGAGAGCTCTGTGAGGCAGTTTTCGGATTCCAACCTTGAGGACAAGGATGTTTCGAAGGAGGATGGATTGATAGAGAGCAGAGAGATCAAGGGGCGGGAAAGGGCTTGGGCCCACCTCCGTGGGCTGGTTGTGAGTTAGGGTTATAGTTTTATATATTATTATAAAGTTTATGTTATGTTTTCTAGTTTGGGCCTATTATTAGTAGAGTACTTAGTAGAGTTAGTATGGGCCTAATTAGGATTTAATTAATTTTGGCTTGATTAGGGTTGCTTGTAGAAGGCTATTTATACCCCTTGCCAGGGTTCATTCTTATTATCTGGGAATAAAAGTTTGTTTAGCCTTTTGGCTGTTAGGGATTGGGCCTAATGGACTGTTAGGAATTGGGCCTAATAAACCTAGAATAATAACAAGTGTAATAGTTAGTATAAATAGACTAAACTGGGGAGAAGTCAGAGGCTGTTTAGACGTTTCAGACTGGGACTTGGGAAGATCGAGAACTTTCTCTTTCTTTTGGGGGGCTTCGGCTCATTGGGGGCTTCGGCCCTAGTTTGTTTCTTGTTACAGGTTCTTGTTCAACGATAATAAAGTTTGATTGTTTTTCTTGATACTCTTCTACACTTTCTTCTTGTAATTGTGTGATTTCTGGAGATCTCTATCATTGGTATCAGAGACTGTCGATTCTGTGAATGGTTGGAACGCAGAAAAAGATGGAGTGACGAATCACAGAGATTGAAAGAAATCAGAGGGAATCAGATACGAAGTATGATGAGATGTTAGCGATGTTGACAACAATGAAGGCTGGCATCGCTGAACTTCAAAACAGGAATTCCGATCGATCCAGAAGTAGATCGCACCATTCTACTTCTTCGCATCGTACAACTCACCGTAGACATACGAGGAATCATGAAAGCTCTGAAGGTTCGGATAACAATTCCGATCATTCTGCCTCGCTTCATGGTCGCGAACGACACAGGCATCACAGAAACCAACATCCGGCTGGGAGGAAAATTGATTTGCCAATTTTCAATGGAGAGGACACCTGTGGATGGTTAGTAAGAATGAACCGGTATTTCCGATTGAACCATACGGACGAAGAAGACAAAATAGATGTCGCAGTTGTTGTCCTGGAAGACCAAGGTCTGAGCTGGTTTCAATGGTGGGAAAGACAAGCTCAACATCAGACCTGGGAGGCATTTACTGCTGCCTTATCCAAACGATTCCAACCAGAATTGGTGCAAGATCCTTTGGGACCTTTACTCAGTTTGAAGCAAAAAGGAACGGTGACGGAGTATAGGGATAAATTTGAGACTGCCATTGCTTCACAGGGCCACTTAACTGAAGAAGTTTTGAGAGGGGTTTTTGTTAAGGGTTTACAGCGTCATATAAGGGCAGAACTGAAGTTATATCGCACCAGAACTTTGGCAGATGTGATGGATACAGCTTCCTTGATAGAGAAAAAGAATTCTCAAGCCTTATATGTGAAGAATAAAGAGGAAGGAAAGAGGAAAGGGCAGAATAAACCTATCATCCAGTCTTCAGGACAGAAATGGGAGGATGAAAGCAGGTGGAAAAGCCATCCTTACACTTCTGTTAGTATGGGCAAATATTCAGGGGATTCTAAGAGCAATGAAGATAATAAGGGCTGGAATTTCAGAAAGGAAGGTCCCAGTTGTGTGTCTAAGAATACAAGTCCCAGGTTATCCCAAGAAGAACTAATGGACAGAAGCAAGAAAGGACTTTGTTTTAAATGTGGTGAAAACTGGAATCGGGGTCACATTTGTAGAATGAAAAATTTTAAGATAATGATGGTAGAACAATCTGAAGGGGAGGAGGAATCTGAAACTGACTTTAGTAAAGAACAAAAAGAAGAAGGAATTCTTATGGAAGCTAAGTCTATGCAATTATCTGTGTTGAACAAAGAAGGAACGCCACTCATGAGAACATTTAAAGTCCTGGGAAATCTGAAATGGCTGAATGAGGAAAAGAAGGTGAATATTTTAATTGATAGTGGTGCTACCCACAACTTTATTTCCCAGCAACTAGTAGAAAGATGGAAGATACCTTTCCAAAGTATTAAGGCATATATGGTACAAATAGGCAATGGAGAATTGATTCCTAACTGCGGTAGATGTGAAGGAATGAAACTGGATGTACAGGGAAATGAAATTCAACAGAATTTTTATATGTTGGAGCTTGGTGGGACTGACATGGTGCTAGGATTGGACTGGTTGACTGATCTAGGTGTTATGGAAGTTAATTTCCAAAACCAGATCATAAAATGGAAGAAACAAGGGCTGAATCATGTTATTCAAGGTGATGGGTATTGGTTGTACTGTGAAGGACAAAGCACAAAGCAGAAGCAAGAACAGATAACTGAAGGCAGAAGGAACGAGATTATAAAGGAGTATACTGAAGTTTTCAAGTCAATTCTGGATAAAATATCTTGGCAGTTGTGTAATTCGGCTGTGAAATACATTGGAAAAAAGATGGAATCAGCCAAGCTAAGGGTCCAGAAATCATGCCAGTATTGGAAAGGAAGAAGTGCTAGGATGAAAGAAAAGATAAAGATTGGGGCTGTGTGCTATCACCCTCCTTGAGGGCAAGGTGGATGTTTAGGGGGGGAGTATTGTTAGGGATTGGGCCTAATGGACTGTTAGGAATTGGGCCTAATAAACCTAGAATAATAACAAGTGTAATAGTTAGTATAAATAGACTAAACTGGGGAGAAGTCAGAGAGGCTGTTTAGACGTTTCAGACTGGGACTTGGGAAGATCGAGAACTTTCTCTTTCTTTCGGGGGGCTTCGGCTCATTGGGGGCTTCGGCCATAGTTTGTTTCTTGTTACAGATTCTTGTTCAACGATAATAAAGTTTGATTGTTTTTCTTGATACTCTTCTACACTTTCTTCTTGTAATTGTGTGATTTCTGGAGATCTCTATCATTGGCTCTGGGCAACGGTATTTATTTATCGTTGATTATCTAGGCAACGGTTCACCCCGTTGATTTTATTTTTCTGTTTTTATCAAATATGTAAAAATATAAAATGATATCTGGAAATCATAAGCCCATAGTAAAGTAATGAAACTTTGTAACACAATGAATAATAAGTAAAACAATACAAAGGGATTTTAATAATATATGTATTATGTAATATTAAAAGAAAACTATACAGAAATTGTCCTAAATAGGAGTAAACGCAATGTGATATTCTAAAAAAAGAGTGCTACTTTTTTTTTGCCTGAATATGAGTATTTAGTCATGCTTGGAAAACAATGCCAATGATGGCATTAATACTCATATTATTAATGCCAAAGTATGGCAGTGATTTCAGACTGTCAGCAATTTATACCTATTTAGAGGGGAAATACAGCAAACCTATTTTGGAATATCACATTGTTTTTACTCCTATTTTGGGAAATTTCCCAAACTATATCAAATTTTGAATGTCAATATCTTTGGGACATGAGAAGTGACACATTTTTATATTTACTAGCCCCGGCTCACTATCTTTGGGACATGAGAAGTGACACACATATCAAGTGGAGTAATGTGATTGATATTAACTTTATAAAGTATGAAAGCGTTTAGATCAAACACATATTACTAAATATGAGAGTGGGATAGATGAAAAAGGTAGGATGAGACATAACAGTGGGACGGAAGGAGTAGTACATAACTACATTGGGTCTCTTCGCGATGTGATTTGATTTGATATTGCCATATTGGTTTGATTATATGATTGCATACTTGCATCAGTTGCTTCTTTTCTTTTGGTAGGTTAACAATACTGATGCTGAAGGAAGGCTTACACTTGCCGATGCCCTAGTATACGCCTGCAAACAGGGTGTAGATAAGGTATTTAAACGCATTATTTACTATTTAGTCATGCATAACATTTTTGCAGAACCTCGTAATATCTTGATATTTATAGTGGCCCACGAGATAACCCTCTAATATAACTAAGTTCTTAATCCTGGTGATACATTGATTTTAAAAGTTGTGACACATAAATGATAAAGTAGATAGAGTAGTGTGCCATTCATGGTGTCTGTAAAGACCAATATTCAGTTTGAATAGGATTCCTTTACCTTCCAGTATTATGTCTGGAGAAGAAGCGGGGAGGAGGGGGAGAAAAGACCCAAATAGCATGGATTAAGGGAGTTAGGAGTGATATGCTTCTTCTGGAGTTGGATGAGAGTATTACTTTAGGGAGAATGAAGTAGAGAGAGAATATTCGCGTGGACGATTGATCTCTTTTAATCATTTCTATCTTTTTATCTTCTTTATTTTTCTTATGTCCTTTTATCCTTTTATCTTTTTATCCTTTTTATCTTATATTTTTTTAAACCTTTTTATCTTATCATTTTTTATCTTTATCTTATCTTTTTTTTAATCTTTGCTATCTGATGTTATCTTCTTTTTATCCTTCTTATCTTTATATCTTTCTCTTCTTTCGCATGTCTTTGTCTCCGTTTTCATGTGTCGATTCATGTTAGCTAACCCCAAAGTTTTTAGAAATTAAGGTTTGGATGTTATTGTTGTTTGTTCCAGTATTATGTATTAATAACACCAGCAAATATCTTTTAAAAATGCTGGACTTCCTCTAGACGTGAGTGGTCTTAAGGCCTATCGCCCAAGGGAGGCCATTTTGGGTTTGCTTAGACTTTTACTGTGCTGATTTGTTTTTTTATTAAGGTTTTTATGGTTTTTTTCAGTGTAGTTTTTATGGTTCAAAATATTACGGTTTTGCAAAATATATTGCCAATCGAAAACCAAATTACACATGGTTCGGTTATGGTTCATGTTTAGTTTAGTTTGTTTAACTGAATCAAAATGGGTAACTCAAGGACTAATTAGGACTAGTCATGGTTAGATGGATCTAAGTGGGATTAGGACCTAAGCAGTAAATATGAATTAGGAGTCAATGAGAGCTTAATTCATTGATGTGATTTAGGCAGGGTTAGATGGGGTTTCTACAACAATGATTATCACTGCACTAATGACATATTAACCAAATGCAGATAGTAGATCTGGCTACACTAACAGGTGCCTGTGTAGTTGCTCTTGGACCCTCAGTTGCTGGTAGTGCCTTATTTTTTTTTTTTTTTTTTTTTGTATTTTGGTATGGTGGCGGTTATTTTTGGAATCATTTGTTTTGTTTCTTTTTGTACTTCTCATTAATTAAGAGTTCATATAAATTCAGGGATATTCACGCCCAGCGATGACCTGGCGAAGGAAGTGCTGGAAGCAGCTAATGTCAGCGGTGAGAAACTATGGAGGATGCCTATGGAGGAGAGTTACTGGGAGAGTATGAAATCGGGAGTGGCTGACATGGTTAACACTGGCGGTCGCCAAGGGGGTGCAATCACTGCAGCTCTTTTCTTGAAACAGGTACTTACATGTTACACCTGTTGGGGAGTTTTGGAGGGGTGGGACTTGGGAGGATTAATTTACGCAAGTCTGAAATTAGAAAATAACTATATCTTTAGTTAAATGATGCGGTAACTTTGTATGTTGAAGTTTATTCCGACCATTTCATTCAAAAATAAATATCGATACCTCCCATCAAAATCTTCCAACCAAACAAGGGCTTATACTCCCAGTTCGGCCCCAACTTTTTTTAGAATAAAAACCAATGTACTTATTATTAGGCAACATTAAGATACCTTAGTGAGATTTTTTGAAGGTTGTTTGGAGAAAAATTGAACCCGATTCTGATTTTAGGTTTAGAACTTGTGGTGTCCTGATCAAGTAATGTTTGGGATTGATGAGAATCAATTTGAAGTGTGTGGCAGAGCAAATGTTTTGAATGTGATTCTTAAAAACACAATGATAATGAGAATCAGTTTTCAGAATTATGTCTTGAGATGCTTTGGGAATATTATCTTCAGGACCCTCCCCCCACTCCCACATGGCACAATCACTTCTAGAAATTCTGCCAAACATCTAAACTGAGTACCATCCAGTATGGGTTTTTTGGCAGAATGTTCAGAAAAAGAGTTTGCTAACAGGAAGTGCACGAAATAATCAGAATAGGTTTTAAAAAGCTGAAACAAAACCTCTTAAATGGTACCATTTTCTTAAGGTATTTTTATGCAGTGGGAATCTCTTTAAAAATTCTTAAATTTATGAGAATTATTTTTGCAGTTTGTTGATGAGAAGGTAGAGTGGATGCATATTGACATTGCGGGCCCGGTGTGGAATGACAAGAAGAAGTGTGCAACGGGGTTTGCGATTCCTACTCTGGTTGAATGGGTGCAGAAAAACTCTTCCTAAGTGATATGTTACTCACACGACAACAACAGCAAACAGCAACAAGAAGACAGTGGCCTGAGGTTCTGAACAGAAAAATGAAAATGTTGTTGAACTTGTCTCAGATACTTTGGAATGACTAAGAATACTGTTTATAAGGATACAAAAGTTTTTTTGCCCTGCTTTTATTTTGGTCATGAATAATAAAATTGACATGTTCATCTCTGATGGCTGGTCATTTCATGTGTTTGTTTAAATGGCTTTTGCATCTTTCTCCAGTTGCAAGAGCCTCACCATTCACAAAGGCTCTAAAACTATAGTACGTCTCATGGATTACATGATCCCTTACCATTTTACATCCAAGTTAGAAAAAAAATTATAAATTATTCTTAGATATTTACAACAATATTCTTAAATCCATAGCCTTTATAGAATTATAGGTGTTATTAATATTTTTATCTCCATCCCAAAATTTTCTTTCCGCTTTGAATTTGCATACTTATTAATAAAGTGGAAATATATGGTTGTAGAGAAAACAAAAAATGATGTTCTCTATTTTAATGATAACATTTTTTTTAAACGAAGGTAGTATGAGGCCATGAGGGTGGTATTCAATCGACTCTGATCATGTTCCTATCCCAGACCAATTGGTTTCGGTCACACTTCCCTAGTTTGAGATTAATATTAAGCGTTCTAATTCTTGTTTATCTTATGGTTTCCGTTTCAATTCTCGGGCGACTAGTCCTTCATGCTTAATATAGTGTATCAATCTCGAATAACAGGAACCTACTGATCTGGAATGGGAACCTGACCGGAGTTGATCGAGTTCCACACTTCCACCCTTATAATTCCTTTTTAATTACTAAACGGTTTTTGTATCATTCTTATTAGATAATGCAAGTATATCTGTATATAATATAAGGAGTTGCAATCCTCCATAAGTGACTATAAAAATTTCCAAATATCTTGATTTCATTATAAATATAAGGGAATTTACCCTAAATGGGACTAAATAGACTTCCTAATTCCAAAATGGGAGTATTTGACTTTATTTCCCAAAATGGGACTTCTGTGGTCCTATTAAGTAACTTTAGACTTTTTCATTCCTAAAATAACCCCCCTCTTCTCTATTGCAACCCAGCCTATCTATTCAGTTTACCGAACTTAACGTAATCCCAAACGCTTAGACGGAGCTGCGGATTATACCAAATCGATGCTGACAATGATTTCGAACCTCAGAGTTTCAATTTTGCGCATCGTTAGCTTGAAAATCGTTTGAATCACACTTGTTCGCGATTATCTGTTCGGAATTCGCTTTTTACCAGGTATTCTCTTCGATTTTTTACTTTTGCTTATTTTTGCATATTCAATTTCCTTGAATAACAGTTCGTTTTTATAATTTCGAATAGTTCTGTGATGGATGAATGTTCTAAGATTCATCACTTCCTTTTACAGTTTTGGCATATTGATTTTTCATGGCAACTGCTGTAATGGATCATGTTTTGCTCATAATGGTCAAGTTGGATGGTGTATGGGGCCTGATTTTGTCTTCATGAACAAGTCTACATTAGGTATCCATGTCCCATATTGTTCCACATACACATCATTGTTAGACATCTTTAATGACAGTGTCACTCAAATCCAATCGAATCCACGTTTTACCATATCATACCTTGTTGAATCCTGCCCCCCACCTGTTCTTGTCAATGACAATGCTAGTTTACACTTTTATATTGATCTTAAGATCCTTCAATCAGATTTTGCAAAATATCCTTTGTGTATACAATTTGACAAAGAGAAACCGCCTGCTTATGCACCTGTTTTATCAGTTTGTACTCCAAATAATTTGGTCACACCTGCATCTTGTTCTAGTGTTGATACGTTCAATGCAAATACTGGTTTCAACGTTATCCATTCTCTAGATCAATACTTGCATCCTGAAGTCCATTCTTGTGTTCCTGAAAATAGTTTTGATAATGTTCTTTCATCCACACCTTCTTTCATCCACAATAATAGTTTTGATAATCATTCTAGTGTTCCGTTCAATGAACATAACTTTGAAGAGCACAGTTCATGTAGTGGTGTACGTGTTGAATGTTTTGATGAGGACTCCCTTTCTTCTAGTGATGAATCTTAAGAAAATGAGTCCTCAGATTCCTTTGTGTTAAACCAGAACTGTGATGTCATTACACATTATTCTCCTATCACGCTTGTGCTCCATGGTATCTACGCGAACAAGCAAGATCTACTTTATCACCATAGACTGTACGCGATCAATAATAACTTCCAATATTGGACAAAGACTTCAAAGAAGCATTCATTGCATGTAAAATGTTTGGACAAAGAGAATTGTAAATGGGTTGTTCGTGCTTTTAAACTAAAGGTGTTCAACTTTTTCAGATTAGAAGGTATATTTCTTTTCTCATTCATGTTTTTTAGTTGTTTTTGATGTATTTTAATATTCTTGTATTGTGTGTTTTCTAGTTTAAAGTTGCATTGCTTTAGTGTACTGCCAGTCTGCCAGTTCACATATTGTATTTCCATTCATGCATACTGTCTTCTACTTTGTACTTCCAACTGTTTTTGTATCACTTCCATCCTGTATGTGTACAGTCATCAATTGATGCCGTGCATGTACCTTGTTCTGTAATTTGTATATCCACCACTTTGTATTTATTCTTTGTTTTTTGCATACAGATTTGATGTTGATCACACTTGCTCAATAGACTTTCGGTAAGGTGTTCGTCATAGGCAGGCCAATTCTGCACTGATTGCTGAGCTTATAGCTCATCAATATATGGATGCTTCCGAAAAACCCTATACACCTAAACAAATCAGGGATGATTTGTTGTTGCAGTATGGTATACCGGTGTCATACAAGAAGTCGTGGGCTACAAAGAAGTCTTCCATGAGAAAACAGTTTGGTTCAGATTCAGAGGAATACCAATTGTTGCCATCGATGGTCCATATGCTTCGCCAAGCTAATCCAGGATCTGATGTCTTGCTCATTACAGGAGATAATGACGTGTTTTTGCTATTTATTCATGTCACTTGCACCATGGAAGAATGCATGGGAACGTTGCATTCCCGTTCTTATTATCGACAGTTCTTTTATGAAATCCTACTACAAAGGGACGTTGCTTACAGCCTGCAGTCAAGATGCAAACAAACAGATTGTGCCTTTAGCGTTTGCTGTATGTGATTCTGAGAGCACTGACTCCTGGAAGTGGTTCTTTATGAAGCTCAAAGAATGCCTTAAACATCGTGATGACATGTACATTGTGTCAGATAGACATAAAGGTATTATCAAAGCTGCAAAGGCCATCTTTCCACACGCTGCCCATGGATATTGTTGTGAACATCTCCGGCGTAACATGAGATCGAAATTTCGAGGTAAGTCATCTGACTATGGCTGGAAATTTAAAGCTGCATGGGAGGCTGCAACTGTTAATGAATGCTATGAGTATTTGTCCATGTTGGATGAGGAAGATGTTAGGATTCGTCCCTGGCTAGAGAAGATTGGAAAGGAAAAGTGGGCTCAAAGCATGGCAGTTAAGAGTCGATGGAGTGTTATGACCTCTAATTGTGCAGAGGCCATGAACAAAGTAAATGCCAATGCAAGAGAGTATCCTGTTGCTAAGCTTTTGGATTTTCTCCGTGAAAGAATGCAAACATGGTTTAGTGAGCGGCTGGAAGAAGCAACTTCCTCAACTACTCATTTGACTCTGAAATTGGAGAAACATTTAGTTTCATTGCAGAGGGAAGCTTCCGGGATGAGGGTACCAATTCCTTAAATTTACTTTAGGTTTCACTCTTTATTTAGTTGCTGGCAATTTAATACTGGCAAGTTATACTGACAAGTTTATCTAATGCATATGTCAGTATCTTGTACACATAAGTATTGTATTGTCAACTGTACTTTATCTTTCTGATGCAGTGATGTTGTGTTATATCTGTAATTCACATGTTTTATTAACTTTGAACTTTCAGGTTAAACCATCTTGTCGTTACGAGTTTGAAGTTGTTGACAGGCTTCGTAGATCTTTTATTGTCAATCTCATTGACCGAACATGTACTTGTCGTGTCTTCCAATTAGAGCACTTTGTTTGTGTACATGTTGTAGCTGCCATAGGTACACGTCCTGGTGTTTCTTCCTATGATTATATATCATATTATTACACACGACAGTCTCTTGTTAATACATACAGTGGCGTACAACATCCAATTGGTGATGTATCTTCTTGGATAGTTTCGCATGATGTTAAAAGTATTTGTTGCAAGCCACCTTTATGTTCTAAGAGACAAGCTGGTCGACCAAAAACAAAAAGGATACCGTTAGTTGGTGAATTTCGTGCAACCAAACGGAGAAAATGTTCTCGATGCCATTCTGCTGGTCATAACAAAAAAAGTTGCAAGAATGCACTTACGATTAATTCCTAAGAAAACTGTTTCATACTGTATTTGTTTTGGAGTTTGATGTTACTTTTGGTTACATTTGCATTTCCATGTGAACATTGAGATACATTTCTTACACAATGTTGTGGTTCTTAAAGTTTCAAATTATATTATATTGAATATATATAGTATTATTTCACTGATACTATCAAGATAGCTTTTGATTCTTTCTACTGTAATAGCATTATTTTATTTACTATACTGCCATCATATGCAACTGTGTAAAAACTTACTGCCTTCGTAATGACAGTATGATGTAAATAGATACTGCCATCAAGTAGTGGCATTATTTGCAATATATGACATTACTCTTCGCTTCAGAATTTACTTTATTTGTTATGGTAGTATTCAAAATTTCCCTTAATAAGTAAATAAGTATTGCCTTCGCTTATAAATTAAACATGGCAGTATTTATTCTTATTAATGACAAATATATTAATGACATTGTTGTTCATATATGTCAGTATTTTCAAAACATGACAGTAAGAAGTGCCAATTTCAAGAAGTTCCTATTTAGAGCAATTTGCATTAAACAAATAGCATTAACTATGTTACCAAGATTACATCAACAATGTAAATGCAGTACAAATATCAACTACCAATTTCAAGATATTAACCAAATTCAATTAAAGTAGAAGTGCCAATTTCAAGATATTAACCAAATATGTAGTACAATTTCAAGATATAAGTTTCCATAGCCTTGTCTGGTAAAGATAAAACAAAGTGTTTGAAATGGTGATAATATGATTACAAAGTCAATTATTCAGTACTATATATAAGCAATTGTAGCTTCTTGCTTATTTCATTAAATCTTTCATCCTCCTTTCATTGTACATCATCAACTCAGTTGCCATTTTCTTCATGTAGCTTGTCATGTCTTCAGCTTTGATTTCAGTTATGTCCCTCCCCATCATCAAGAATTCAGCAAACTTTAGCATGAACATTCCACAGTTGCCACTACATTACACATATTAGTGCAT